GCAAGTTGGCTGATATAATCCAACTGCCTGATTTCCCTCGGTGACTAACGCTCAGGTGTCGCATTGAGTGCAAAAGCGAGCGGCTTATGATCTGTGAGAGTCACGAAGCATCGCCTTTCCAAAACAAGTCGGAAGTGTCGAACAGCTAAGTAGATTGCGAGAACATCATGGCCAAAAGCGCTATATCGAGTCTGTGCAGGTTGTAAGCGATGCGAAAAGAATGATAAGGGCTGTATTTCACCGTTGACCTCCTGTTGTAAAGCTGCGCCAACAGCGGTTTGAGGCGTCAGTAACCAGGAAAAGAGGCCCAGACTGATCAGGATTTATATGTGTCAAATTAGTTGTCTGATTTAACACTTCCTTGACCGTTTCAAATGACGTAGTGGCCTCCGCTGTGTGGGTGAGTTTGCGAGCTTTCAGCATGAGTAGGTCAGTGAGTGGTCGGACAACCTCGGCACAGTTAGGGACAAAGCAGCGGTAATAATTGTTAGGGCCAAGGAAACGTATAAAATTTTTTGTGGTGTCGGGGGGTGGATAGTCGCAAGTGGCGGAAACTTTAGATGACAGAGTACGGATGCCGTTCGAGTCAACAATATGTCCTAGAATTTCTAGTGACGAAACACCAAATTGGCGTTTACTGCTATTGATGACTATACCGTACCGCTGAAATCTTTCAAAGGCTTGCTTTAAGTGAAGCACATGCTCGTCTTCGGACCGACTGGCGATAGGTACATCATCAATATAAGCGTAGACAAAGTCTAATCAATGTAAAACTTGATCCATGAATCGTTGAAATGTTTGAGCTGCATTTCTGAGCTCAGATGGCAAACGAACGGATTCATAGAGACCTAATGGGGAGGTGATCGCTGTTTTGGGAATATCGTCCGTAGTGGCGGTTACCTGGTGATGCATTCTGACAAGGTCTTATTTACTGAAGATAGATTTGCCGTGAAGAGTAAGGGCGAAATCATGTACATGGGGAACTGGACATTTGTCCGGGATAGTGACAAGATTTAGTGCGCGATACTCGCCACATGGTCTCCAATCTCCATTGGAGTTTTTGGGGACCAAGGGCTGCATGATGATCGTATGATATTGAATTAACTCAAACGCTGGAATTCGGTTTTGGCTATGGCAAGCTTTTCTGGAGCAAACAGTCGTGAGCGGGATGCGGATGGTGGACTCTTGATCGAGATATGATGCAAAACATCGTGTTTTACGGAATCGGCCTTGAGAGCGGGTCGCAGGATCTCTGGAAATCGACGAAGCAATGTTGCGTGACGATTATCCGGCAAAGCCGGGCGGATTCCAATAGAATTAATGGATGAATCCTTGTCATTCATGGAGAGTGTCGTCGAGTTGTCAAGCAACTGCCGTCTGTGGGGATCAACCTTGAGACCAAATGATGCGAGGAAGTCCAGACCGTTAATGGGTTTTTAACGTCGGCCACTGTGAAAACCCACGGGAACTGACGGCGAAGACCTAGATCGAGAGTAAGAAACTTTTCACCATAGGTCTCAAAACTCGTACCGTTGGCTGCCTGCAGAGAATATTACTCGTACCGTTGGCTGCCTGCGGAGAATATGCCACTGACTGTAGGTTATGTTTGCGTGGATGAGGAGGAATTACGCTAACCTCAGCACCGGTATCGATGAGGAAACTCAAGGACATGGAGCGGTCATACACGAAGAACGGGCGACAGGTGGGAGAGCCGGTTGCATTGGTCGCCATTACTGGCGGGCCATGGCTACTCCCCAATTCGAAGGCTTCATGAGGAAAGTGCAAGGTCTAGTGGATCGGAAGGCGCGGTCACCGAGACGACGATGATAATAGCTCCAGGGAGGTTGGCTGCTTTGTTTAGGAGCACGACTGTGGGATAGAGACCGAGATCGTCTATGACGTTGAGGGCGACCAATGGGTTGGGTGACTTCATTACGTTGGAGGGATAACTCGGAAAATTGAGCTTTCATAGAATAACTCCAGGGTAGACTGCTAAGTGGATGGTTGCTGAACGTTGGCGACAACGAATTGCCTGCAAGTTTCATGGACATGGTCGGCCACCTCGGTTAGCTTCGCTGGGGAAGAATCCTGTTCGACGACAGAAAGGACTTTAAGGACTTCAACAGGCAGTCTTTGTTGCCAAAGCTTTTTCAAAACAGCACCGTTGACCGGATGTTTACCTTGCAGGTGCATCATGTGGTGAAGGTGTGATGGTGTTTAATCGCTGACGTCAACACCAAAGAGAAGTTTCCGCAGACTCTGTTCATCGCTGGAAGCGGTGCGAGAAATGATAGCTGCTTTGAGGTTAGGTGGACGGTCGGGTATATATTAAGTTGGCGACCTCTCGGGCAACAAAGTCTGGTAAACAGCCTACCACATGGTTGTATCTGCTGCTTTGGGAGGTAATGTGACGCGATTCAGAAATGGCCCCAATTTGAGCGAACCATAGCCTCGGATAACGTACACCGAATTCAGGCAACTTAACGTAAACAACGTTGTCTATCTCGGTTGCCTGTGTTTGTTAAGAAGCCGTGCTGACGTGGTAATAAATAATGAATATATATGATCATGCCAGACGATATGCCACCCACAAGTTGGGAATAAACATTATTATTATTGTTATTGTTAATAATAAAGCGTTAGAATACTGCAGAGAAGAGTTTAAGAAATGATAACGGCTCGCCAATTATGTGGCGGACTAGGAACTTATCAGCGTGTTCGGTTAAATGAAAGAGCAAAGTGACCAAAAAAGATCACAAAATCACAATAAGAAAAGAATAATTAGTCGATAAGCACCCACGATTCCACAGATCCAATATTCCACTACACCGATTCAGATGCAGTATCCGGCTGTGAAACAAATATTCGCTCGTAGAACTTTCCCACGGATGATTGAAGCGCGAGTGGTAAATTCCACGATAGGAAAGTAATTCACGCTGAAGAATGTCACGTAGATTTAATGTGATGTTTGACAGTTCACACAGACACAGAGGTCTAGCCCCACTGGTTCAACAGTCAGCGAACCGCTCAACGGAGCGTAAATTCACTGATTCGGCAAGAAGTCAGCGAGTCGTGCTGGAAACTTGCGCATTGGTACCATTGAAACAAACGTCATGATAAAATACTTACGTCAGTTGAAAATGCGCTTTAACTTCAGGAAAAATGGTGAATATGCGACAAAGGATTCGGAAAATTACTGTTGTGACTTGCTGAACGGTTGTGCAACTCAGTGTCGCTCCCTCGGCTTCCTGCTCCGCCTACTATGGTATATCAAAAGGCACGGTAGCTCTACACAGCCCTTTATGGAGACAAACTAAAATTATTACAACTGTATTTACAGGGTAGTCGCAGAGTGTTCCACAGGGAGGTGCGAGAAGCACCGTGAGGAGGCGAGAAGCGCCCAGTAAAGAATGCTCGGTCCGGATTGGCTAGTATTCTGACCAATCAGGGCATGCCTTCGTTTGACCCGTGTCCTGCACGTGACACATTCGTCCAAATGATGTGATGTTCGGTTATTAGGACGACTCGCCTCCGAGCAACTACACCACTCACCATTAACTCACCAATTATTTTCGCCGAAACCGTACGATGCATGAACCTTTTTACGCATGCAAAACTTGGTAGGCTATTTTCCTGAGTGATGCTTGCACTGGATATCCTGCAGTTATGATCTCACTTGTGAAGGACACTGTGGAACCATAGAATGTGTCAAAGTTGGATTTTGTGCCTTACCAGGTAAACCGGTAATGAAATGCGAATCGATGTTGGCCGATGGTCTTGAAATTTCGCCCCCTTAAAAGAAATGCGATGAGCATCTTATTACGGTAACGTGACAATCGCTTAAACTACCTCGTCGTAAAATCCACAACTTTGGCTAAAATGATGCAACTTTAGTCTGGTTGAATGAGAATTTGCTTGTCAACCGAGGTCTGTTAAGTTCTAGTGCTTCGCATCTATTATGGATATTTATAGTGTTGAAGGCGAAGCAGATTTGATTGTAAGATAGTCTGGAAAAAAATTTGGGTGCTCAAGAATCACGAAGGCTGATCAGCAGCGGGGCTAATGAATGAATTTGAAGTTCCGGCACGGCTCCAGGAAGAGAGGTCAGAGGATCGATTACAAAAGCATTTAGCTTTGACTGTTTTGCACCCTGGTGGTTGGGTGCTTTGCCGCAATCTAAAACGCGCCATTTCGTCTGAGCGCAGGGTACAATGATTTTCTGAAGCACGGCGTAGCCTTAGTCCATGAAGAAGTGTAGCACACGAATTATTGACACTCGTTCGCGTGAATACTGGCGGTTGGGCGAGATAAACTCACGTTTCGACGAATACTGTTCTGATATATAGCCAGACCTGTCAACTGTGGCTAATTGGGGCCGTTTCATCAACAGATTTCAGTAGCGAAGCATTTTCTTTTCATGGTCCGAATGTCCACAAACCCAGGACAATCATGCACTAGATAAACGCACTTATTCGGTAGCCTTTAACTGTCCACGAAATCGGTTCTTGGTTCACCTCGGCTCATACAGCAATCGGCGTTGCAAGACTTGAGACTTTTCAGTGGCCTTATAAAATAAAGCACTGCGATCAATCCTTCAGTTTGATCCGTAACACGGTTATAATGGGGGGATCCCAGTGAAAATTGAACAACGAAGCTCTGGTGACGTTCTGTTATTTCCACCTCGCACCCAACCGCAGGTTTCGCGCAAACACTGCTTGGACTAGCCCCCGTATTCACCGTTGTTCCAGGCGTCTGAGAGTGATGTGGAGAGCGATTGCTATTTTGGTAGGATTTCTCAATAATGGAAGCAAAATACCGACTTCTCGTGCTCGGTGGTGGTTCGTCGGCTGTTACCTCCAAACTCTTCGTTCTTTGCAACCTGGCTGGTGATACTTGTTTTGCTCAGCTGCCATTGATCATACGAGGTGTAGCGATTACGAATACCGCAGTCCCGCTTATATATTGAATGAAGCAGGAGTACATTTGTTGCGTTTGGAGGGATGGCTGTAGTTCAGAGGCTGAAAAACCCACGTTACTACGCCCAACCAAAAGTCAACCCAGGTAATGGCAGACGGCGAGGCACAAAGGAATCGTTCAAGCATATTCAAATGGAACATGATAGTCATGGGTCTACATATTTGATTCCCGCTCGTATTAGCCATTCAAAAAATCGAGTGTTCTTTAATGGATTTACAAAGCGTCCGGGTGCGAGAAATCAACTGTTAGCCACGCGGTTTTTCACCAAAATTTCTGTTCCTCGCGGCTTGGAAACCAACTTACGAGTACTGAGGAGCAGGCGGTGTATTGTCGGTGATCATGGAAGCAATGTTTATCGATCTGGTTACAATACTCCGAAATATGAATAACTAGCGCGCGCTGCATAGTGGAAGCAAGCCCGGCAGATGAACCGCAATCTAAGCTCGACGAACAAACCAATAAGCCCGACCTGAACTTTCGTAAGTTGGCAAGTTCCATTCGCGACAGTTTAAATCATCGAGGAGATCCACAAACCGGTCGCTACCTAAAAAAGTCGTTCAGCTGTAAAACCATCCCGGTGCCTAACTGCCATGCCACCCGAAGGTTGCACGAGGGCTGGGATACTGCCAGGTTGCCCAAGCTTAGACAGGGGAAGTCGAGAGGCGCAGGTCGGGTTCGAACTACGGACCTTCCGGTCAGTAAATTCGCACTCAAACCACTTGAGCCATCTCGCCCAAATGGCGAACATTGGCGCCAGAGCCCTTAGGATTGAACATCTAGGCTCCTGCCTACAACATGTAGGAAGTGTACACAGTATTGAACACCTAGGCTCCTGCCTACAACATGTAGGAAGTTTTGAAGTTGTTGGGGATATCAATATCCCTCCCAAAAACTGTATTTTTATGTGTGCCAGCGAACTTCCGGCATCTTCAAGGTCAAACTGAACATATCTATGCATTGTCATTTTTCCCATGTTAGCATGCTGATCGCGTGTTGTTGGATCACTAAAGATTGTGTCCAAGGTTTTTCGTCTTCCTACTATCCGCCGTGCCAGGAGTCTGGATCAAGCAACATAGCTGGGGATAGAGTATTGCCACGACCCGCATATCATATTGTTTTGCTCGCAGCGTGATCGAACCGTAGCATATTTGGCGAAGCAAGATGGAGTCAGAACAACTCACAGTAATGTTTGAGCAACAACTGAGTATTGCCACCGCATATCATATTGTTTTGCTCGCAGCGTGATCGAACCGTAGCATATTTGGCGAAGCAAGATGGAGTCAGAACAACTCACTCAAATGTTTGAGCAACAACTGCAACTCATCAAAGTACTTATTTACATCTTTGGCTTCACCGGCTGCGTCGAGCGTCCCACAATCGGTTGATGGAATTGCTGGCAGTATCAACGAATTTTGCCATGAGCCCTCAGCTGGCATAACGTTTGATGCTTGGCTTCGTCGCTATGAAGACCTGTTCAGGGTCGATTTTTCACTTCAAGATGATAGTTGGAAGGTTCACCTCCTGCTCCGCAAACTTGGACCCGCAGTGCATGATAAGTACGCTAACTATATTCTGCCAAAGAACCCGCGCGATTTCACTTTCGATGAAACGGTCCACACGCTTTCACAAATATTCGGTGAGAAAACGTCACTTTTCAACATCCGTTATCGATGCATGAAGCTAGTGAAGAGTGATGCAGACGACTTCCTCACATATTCTGGCATCGTGAACCGAGAATGCGAACGGTTCAAACTCGGATCGTTAACGGAAGATCAGTTCAAGTCGCTGATTTTCATATGTGGTCTACAATCCCCGAAGGATGCAGAAATCCGTACCCGACTCCTCAGCCGCATCGAGCAGGACCCATCCATGACGCTGCAGGCCGTCACCTCGGAGTGTCAACGGTTGCTTAACCTGAAGCATGACACCGCGATGGTCCAACTCGGGGGTCATGGCGGTTCCGAGGTTCATGCAATACACCAGGATACGCAACAGCCTGGCCCTGTCAATTCTGGCCCAACCAAATCGACCTCGCAGTGTTCTGGTCCGAAGCAAAACAAAGGCTCAAAGAAGACACCACCTTCACAATGTTGGCACTGTGGAGCCTGGCACTTCGTCAGGTTCTGTCCTTACAAGAAGCATCGGTGCCGCCAATGTAAGTCCGTGGGACACAAAGATGGATATTGTCAGTCACTGATGCATACGGCCTCTGCTGTTTCAAAGCAATCATCACGCATCCGTCCCAAACCGAAATCGAACCCTGTTGGCTCCTCTCTCAGTTTGCTGGCTACTTTCCAGATCAACACGCCAGGTAACCGGAAGTATCTGACAGTCACCGTAAATGGTCATCCAATCCGTCTGCAGTTGGACACTGCGTCGGACATTACCATCATTTCGGAGAGGCTTTGGCGCACGCTCGGGCAACCTCCGATCAGACAAGCAGCTCGAACTGCAACCAGTGCCTGCGGTGGAGAGTTAAAACTTTCCGGTGAGCTCCAGTGCTGTGTATCTTTTCGAGGAACTACATTTGTGGGGTCGTGTTATATAACGGCAACTGAGTTGAACCTATTGGGTCTTGATTGGTTCGATCGCCTTGGGTTAGCCGACATTCCAATCAGCGCCGTTTGCAATGCAGTTCAGTCTCCTACAGCGCATCCAGATCATGCATCCGACATTATGGAGCGATTTCCAATTGTTTTCCAGTCCGGTCTCGGTCAGTGCACTGCGACACAAGCAGTCCTCCACCTCGTGCCGGGAGCTACGCCAGTCTTCCGTCCAAAGAGACCAGTTCCGTACGCTTCCCTCCCACTGGTAGATGCCGAACTTCAACGGTTGGAAGAACAAGGCGTTCTGTCCCCTGTATCCTACTCTGCCTGGGCAGCGCCGATCGTTGTAGTAAAGAAACCTAACGGTGGCATCCGCATATGCGCCGATTTCTCAACCGGCCTAAATGCAGCTATCCAGCAGCACCATTATCCACTACCAGTACCCGACGATCTATTCACTGTTCTGAACGGTGGGAAGTTCTTCGCCAAAATCGACCTGGCTGAAGCGTACCTTCAAGTTGAAGTCGCACCAGAATCACGCCCACTACTGACAATCAACACACACCGCGGGCTGTATCAGTACAACCGTCTTCCGTTTGGCGTCAAAACCGCCCCAGCAATTTTCCAGCAATTGATGGACACCATCCTTTCTGGCATTCCAGGTGTGGTCGCATACCTGGACGACGTGCTGATCGTTGCTGTTTCCCCCGAAGAGCTTCGTGAGCGAATCAATGCCGTCTTACTGCGCATTCAGGACAATGGCCTCCGCCTCCGTCCCGAGAAGTGTCAATTCTTCTTGACAACTGTGAAATATCTTGGGTTCATTTTTGACGCCTCTGGTCGCTATCCTGACCCGGAAAACGTTCGAGCTATACAGCAGATGCCACCTCCTAAGGATGTACCATCATTACGTTCCCTTTTGGGGTTAATCAGCTACTATTCGGCATTCCTGCCTTCGTTGCACGACATCCGGCCCCCGCTAAATCGGTTGCTTGGAAAGGATGTCCCCTGGTGTTGGTCAGACGAATGCGAGGAAGCATTCTGCAAACTAAAGACGATGCTCAGTTCTGATCTGCTACTTACCCACTACGACCCAAAGCTGCCGATCGTTGTGGCAGCTGATGCCTCTAATTTTGGTGTCGGTGCCGTCATTCTACACGTCTTTCCAGACGGATCGGAGAGGGCCATTATGCATGCGTCGAAATCACTAACCCCAGCAGAACAGCGATACGCACAGATAGAGAAAGAAGCGTTGGCCTTAGTGTTCGCGGTTCGGCGTTTCCACAAAATGTTGTATGGCCGCCGTTTCACCCTACTTACCGATCATAAACCATTGCTCTCCATTTTCGGCTCAAGGAAAGGTGTTCCCGTACACTCTGCCAACCGCCTGCAAAGATGGGCCCTGATTATGCTGGGTTATGACTTCGATATTCAATATCGACGCACCACCGACTTCGGTCAGGCCGATGCATTATCTCGGCTGATCAACAACCAGCCAACACCCGAAGAAGACACGGTTATTGCGCATGTTGCATTTGAGGACCCAGCCGACCCACAGTTGGTCCAGTCCGTTCGTGCCCTGCCCGTGACAGTAACAGAGGTTCAAAGAGCTACCACAGCTGATGGAACGCTTCAAAAGGTGATCCGATTCATGAATTCTCGGTGGCCTTCGAATCTCAAAGATGATTCCCTTCGACAGCTCTTTCATCGCCGAGATGCATTAGCGATCGTAAAAGATTGTTTAATGTTTGGAGATCGCGTGGTGATTCCGCAACCTTTACGCCATCGAGTTCTTCGTCAGTTCCATTCTGGACATCCAGGAATCAACCGTATGAAGTCAATAGCTCGCAGTTACGCATACTGGCCGCACATGGACCAGCACATCACTGATTTTGTAAAACGCTGCTCCCGATGTCAACAAGCTTCAAAGAATCCGCCACACCAACCACCGGTTCCCTGGCCTCGACCTGAAAAGCCCTGGTCTCGGATCCACATTGATTACGCAGGACCGATAAATGGCACTTTTTATTTGGTTTTGATTGACGCTTTTTCCAAGTGGCCAGAAATCGTTCCGGTGTCATCTCCAACAACATCTAGTACGCTGAGAGTGTTATCCAACATTTTCAGTCAGCATGGATTACCGGAGTCCATAGTCTCAGACAATGGTTCGCAGTTCACCTCTGCTGAGTTCCGCGACTTCTGCACTCGACATGCGATAACACACGTTCGTTCACCACCGTACCACCCACAATCGAACGGTCAAGCAGAAAGGTTCGTCGACACATTCAAGAGGGCTTTGCTTAAAGCTCGAGGGGAGGAGACATCCGTCGAAGCCCTTCAGAGATTCCTGTTTGTGTACCGAACGACCCCGAATGACGCTTTGGCAAACCACCAGTCACCTGCAGAGGCACTCATGGGCCGTAAACTTAGAACTGTGCATTCTTCCATGTTGCCAACACAACCTACTGAGTCAAGGTCCATACCGGTGGCAGTTGGAACTCCATTCAAGGTGGGAACGCCCGTGCTTGTCCGTGACTATCGCCCAGGACATGATTCATGGATTGCAGGTCGTATCCTGCGCAAACGCGGTAGTGTAATGTACGACGTGTCGGTTGGTCAAGACACCTGGACCAGACATCAAAACCAACTCCGCTTTAACAGCACGCCGGAAACTCAAGTATGTTCGGGTGCCGTACCGTTGGACATATTGCTCGACACTTTTGAGCTGAAAACTGAGACAGCTTCGAAAGAGGAGAGTGTGACCGGCAGCTCAGTATCTGATCCAACACTTCTTCCCAGGCGGTGGACAGACCGACGCCGCCGCCAGCCGGAACGTATCCAGGTCGACCCCCGTTGAGTATGTTACTGACATTTCACAAGGTGAGGTGTTGGGGATATCAACATCCCCCCCAAAAAAACTCAGTATTTTTATGTGCTAGCTAACTCCCGGCATCTTCAAGGTCAAACTATGAATATATATATGCATTGTCATTTTCCCCATGTTCGCCTGTTGATCGCGTGTTGTTGGATCATTAAAGTTTGTGTCCGAGGTTTTTCGTCTTCTCACTATCCGCCGTGCTAGGAGTCTGGATCAAGCAACACAGCCGGGGATAGAGTATTGCCACAATCCGCATATCATATTGTTTTGCTCACAGCGTGATCGAACCGTAACAGAAGTTCACGAAATCGTGGCTTATCTGAAGAGGCTTCACGAACAATCAGTGATTAACCTTGTTCATGACCACGGTGAATACATCCAAACAAGAAACACCCATCATATCTGCCACATGGCTGGCCATCTGGTTTCTGGATACGGAGGAGATTTGTTGCAAGGCCAAAAAGTGCAGTACGAGTGACATGAGAGCCACGCGGAACGTCATGGGCGGATTCTTTTTTTAGAAGAAATGAACAGACTACTACTGGGCTGAGATTGTTCTATAACTGAAGATTTGAAGTGCACAAACCGTCTGCGTCCGCTCACCCATTACGAGCTCCATCGTAGCGATTAGAAAAAAGTCCAAGACAAGAAAGAAGCTTGAGAATCTAAACGACACTGGACGGACAGCATTCCTGGTTGAAGAAGTTCACAGATTGCGACCCTTTACTCCAATCAGATGAACAGGGAAAATAACCAAATGTACAAAAGCATCTCTATTGACCACAAATTATGTACAGCGGAATACTATGATTTAGATCATCTTTTGGCACCACCAATGCGCTTTTTCCCTTTTGGCTTCCCGGATTTTCCTCTATTCTTTCGCAATGCGGAAAGCTTCTTTGGTTTGGCCTGGTGTTTCGCCGGATTGAAATCCTTCCGCGCTCCTCCACTAAATGACTCCGCAGTATTACGTTTGCTCCGCTTCTTCTGTCCACCGTGACCGTACTTTTTGTTCTTGTAATCCCGTTGATAGTTGATCCTGGAAATAGGCAAGGAAACGGATAGTAGTGAGGGTTATCTACCCCTAGTAGTGTGAGCTGGAAAAGAACCGGAGGGGGTTGTCTCAGGTCAGGAAATGTTCACTGAGTCTCTCCAGGTTGATTCGCTTGGGTTATCTTCGTTATCCAGGAGTGTAGCTCACAGGGCACGGAAGCCTCGCTTCAAATACAGAAATCAGCATAGCGATTCACGTGGACCTATGATCGGCATTTTCTTAGGGGCATGAGCTATCTTTTTGGAGATGGGGAATGCATGCATGATAATGGCTAACAGGATAGACTGGGGAACTGCATGAGAGCGCTGCCAATGGCATGCTGCATCCACAGGGCCTCTAAGTGCTTCAAGACCATCCGTCAGAGCTAACCACTGCTAACGTCCGTGCCACGGCTGGCGGTAAACAAGGGCAATCAGCTGAAGCAAGGGCTCAATTAAGAACAACACTTTAGCGTAAACTTTCCGGTGATATTGCTAACAGAATTCACAGTAAGGACCAAACACGTCAGGGACAAGTAAATCGAAAAAACATGCTCACATGGCACGAAAAGCCGGCCTGATGGGATTCTTTAAGTAGGCAAGGATAGCCAAAAAAAGATCTAGAGTCTAGCAGACATTAAAGCTGGTTCGTGAGTCCGGAAAAAAGCTGGGTAATCGGCGGAGCGGCATCGGGCGATCATAGCGTCACCACACAATAGATCGACTAGAAATGAACGACGGAGAAAATTAGTACCATCCACCGGCAAAAACGGTCATGAGTAGCGAGACCGTGAGGGGCTTTATTTACATTGGTATGCCCTGAAGGTTGTACCAAAGGCGCTCTAATAAATAATAATAATAATAATCGTTCAGCTGTAGCGCCCTTTCGGTGCCTGGCTACCATGCCACCCGAAGGAAGCACGAGGGCTGGGATACTGTCAAGTTGCCCAAGCCTAGACAGGGGAAGTCGAGAGGCAGAGGTCGGGTTCGAACCACGGACCTTCCGGTCAGCAAATTCGCACTCAAACCACTTGAGCCATCTCGCCCAAAGGCGTTCTATAAATTTGCCAAGCAGAAAACAAGTACTGGTGTCTGACAGACAGACCGCTCCAACCTAGTTTACTGTAGACTTGCTCGCTGTGCCGACCGACGGTTTTTTGAAATCCGCTACATACCAAGCCAATACGATGTAAAACGAAGGGGACCAACTACTTAAATCCCACTTGTTGCCAGGCCAGAGTTCGCTGCTGCTGAAATGAGCCTATCTGCACTGAGTAAGTCATTTCTATGTGTATCGTGAATAGCAAATCGATGGCTACGAGAATCTCAGTAACCGGGAAAAATAACCTTTGTAAAAGCAACCTTGAGGATGATGAATAGCCAGCTAGGATGCCCAAGCGCCACCGATGGAACCTGGGAGCGGGGATCACCGTGACACGACCTGCACGTTAGACGAAGCGACCAGACACGACTGCTTTGGGAGCACGACAAGGTGTTGAAGCAATTGACTGAACAGGGTCACAAAAATAAGCTGTTTACTTCGGGGCTCCTGACTTACAGGTACGAACCATCAAAAAGTCGCCAAACTTCCGTACAATGATCTGTAAAAACGGGTGACCTATCTTCGGAGTTCACAACTTTAAGCCCTATTTTGTAACAGCAAGTGTCCATTCCAAAGGAAACAGCTCCGTCTTACTTTCTGCGATTCGCAACATCTTTGGCTCGATTAAATCCGGGTTTCTGTTTATCGGGTGTATCGCGATATTCCCCCAGAATCTGATCCAACGTACCATCGTGATCTTTGCCTGCGGAAACAAAAGGAAACTCAGATTCACGAATTGCGGGACGTATATTTTGTCCTTCCGCATTACGAGTATTAGGGATACATAAGTCGAATCAATACCAGTCGCAACAGAGGATAGTTTAAATGGAAAGGCTGTCACTCAGTTGACATCAAACAGGTAGGAAAGGGGGAATTCATTCAGTTGTAACACATTTTCGGTGTCTAACTGCCATGCCACCTTAAGGAAGCACGAGGATCGAGACACTACCGGGACGCTTAAGAGCCGTCGAGATGCATAGGTTGGGTTCGAACCACGGACCATGCGGTCGATAAAGTCGGCTAGCAGCTGCTTCGAGAGACGAAGCATATTAGTCATCCTGGTAGAAGCAAGTCATATGACTGTTCACTCACTTTGGCCTGTTCAGTTAAGATTGGAAGAATCAGATCATTAAAACAGCAACTGACGAGTGAGCCAACTAATAAAACTGTGCCCAATGTCAACATTGAGTCGTCCAAATGTGTTGGAACGGAGAGTACGACGGTGAACACATCACGAACCCACGTTGACTTCGTCATTGTGTCGCTGCCTCCTTACAAATTTTCCGTTTTGTATTCATTTGTCGTTGTGCGCAATTCGATACTAGGTCACATTTGGCGTCACACTCCTAGTCATTGATATTTTGGCATCTCTGGATCGCCAAGAAGCCCAAACGGAACAGTTACGTCTTCCGCCAAACCATTTAGCTTCCTTTGCTACATCACCTGTCATCTTTTCCTTTAGGTTACGCCAAAGTGCATAAAAGCGTGGTGGATATTTAATAGTTACGTATATCCAAACCCCGGTATCATCTGTCGAGGTTTGGATTATATGATACTGCCTCAGTCCTCGTGATTCCTTCGGGTAGTCTGGCAGCCAGGTGCCGAAGAATTATTTGTCATACACAAGGTACGCCAGCCACATCAATTAGACGGGTTGATACCATGATTATTAGCCTCAAGGTCGCCGGCTATGAAGCTTTTTTCGACGAACACCAGCACGATGCTCGCACCGATTCGGATCAATGGTGCGTAGACATCGACCTTAAGGAGGTAAAAAATAGAAGATAGTAGTCCGGCTATAACGCCCTTTCATCGCCTAGCTGCCATGCCACCCGAAGGAAGCACAAGGGCTGGTATACTGTCAGGTTGCCCAAGCCTGGACAGAGGAAGTCGAGAGGCAGAGGTCGGGTTCGAACCACGGACCTTCCGGTCAGTAAATTCGCGCTATATCCACTGAGCCGTCTCGACCTTGAGGAACGGAGTTCACTAATGTCAGTGGGCTGGCTGTGGGTAGAATTTGAACTTATTCGGTTATTAGAGCGAGGAGATTAGTCAGAAAGAAAAGTTGAAAAAACATGCAACGTCCGCATTGATGAGTTCGGGCAAACTCGGCAAGAAGTACCACAAACGACCGGTAGAAAGCGGTAGGAACACTCACCGAACTTTTTCCTCGATGCTTTGATAGCATCTGTGAGCTGACGCTTCTCCGCTTTGCGAGCTTGCAATACGGCCTGCTGTGTTTGCTTGCCAAACTTTCGTCTCTCACGCATTTGGCGGGCGCGTTCCCGTAGTGTAAGCCGCTGCTGGGTCTCTACCAAATGTTGCTTTATCTGAAATCATGATTCAGCACAGTTATGATAAGACAGTTGTTCAGAACCTTCACAAAACTCGATTCAAATGATTCACTTAGCATCACAATGGTCCAAGTTGTTGACGAGCTCGCAGCCAAAATTTATCACACACCATGCCAGCCCAAATGCTTTAGAGACCAACTAGGAGTTGAACAGAGACGCATATGTCAATAACACCCATAGGGGTTTGTAGCTGAAGACTTTTTGAGATTCGTCAGGCAGGCCTAATGCCCAAAATTCTACCGAACGTAGCCCGTAACCCAACATCAAATTTCTGCCAAAAGGGAAAATTAAGCTGATATTGAGGGGGGGGGTCCAGCCGACATCCATCTGAATCGTTCGATTAGAGTACCAATCAAATGAAGTCAGTCGGTGAGTGAGTGTTACTCGCAGCCAGTGTACACTTTGATGTTCCAGTCGAGGAACAGAACAATCTGATAAGCCCCGAAAAGCATCAAACAGGCAGAGGATTGCACACAGTTTTAATCAAGCGTACCTCGATACATTGAATATCGTTCCATACGGAACATGAGGCGGTGTTTTTGCAAGGAGGTTACTAGCGTGAGTGTCAGTTGAGATTCATTCGAGTCTCTCGTCAATACCAACTTACTTTGCAAACGAGTGTTAATCGCAACAGTTACCCTCTTTTATGACCTCCAATGTGGCCGGAGAATGCCATCGTGGAGTCCCATTCAACGAGTAGACTGCACGAGCTTGTGAAAGGAAGAACTACGGTGAAACCAGACTAGCTTTTCAGAATGCTTTATTTCAGTTTTTTTTTATAAAAAAACCCTACTCTCGGAAGATCATGTATCGGAATGAGGTGAGAAGTGAACCGGAACAACGGGCCACCACTATCTAATGCCGACGCGGATATAGTGATCAGGGTAGTTTCGTTTTGTGTCCTACTAACTATTGCCATACGGATGACAAAAGATACTACTAAAAACCAGTCAGTATACCCTATTCGCCATAGAGAAAGGTGCAGACAAACTGCCCGATAATCATGCACAGCGAGCAGCTCTGGACCGACAGCTGCTCAGCCATGCGAACACACATCTTAATCTGAGGATTACAGGAATGACGTAACGTGGATCGCTAGATTACGTTCCTTCAAACGCTCCAATCAAACAGACGAGCCACGGTTATTGTGAACTTCTCATTGTGTCGCCTAACTGCAGCTTACAGTAACTGCGGGGAACTTTGCATTACGATCAAGTGAGGTAAAATCCACATACTTTCGGGCGAGATGGCGCAAGCGGTTAGAGAGCGAATTTACTGACCGGAAGGTCCTTGGTTCGAACCCGATCTCTGCCTCTCGACTTCCTCTGTCCAGGCTTGGGCAACCTGGCAGTTCGAGCCCCCAGTTACCTACTCATCCTAAATCATAAGCCACGAGCTATTCGGTCCATTCGAACATTTTCCTTTCATTTCCACCTATCCCACCCCCTCCCGTTAAGGGATGTCTTTAGGGGCTAATCTTCTGCCCACCAGGACGACACGTGTCAGTTCGTTATTCCCTATCCATGAAATTGGGCACTTCCGATGATGCTTCAGCTTTAGCCGACTGTATCACTGATGTGTTATTCACAAAGAAACACCACCGTTTGTCTTGTTGGGAAACCCGCCCTCCTGATCTGACGCTGGCGAACGTATCCCTTTTCGAACACAATTCGATCGATAGCAACCTGCTATCTGCAAACTTGAAATGTGCATCAATCACAAGGCTGACCAACTATCGGGTGCAACCTTCGGAATCCGAGTCATCAGTCGTAGTTTCTGCTCATCCAATCTTCTCCCACCTCCTGGTCCCTAAAAAACCTTGGGTCAATGTGAAAGAAAAAGCTGAAACTTGGCTGAGTTGTTCGACCACTTCTCTCCCAACAACTCCAAATTACCCATCCGTTCTGCCTACCCACCGCTAGCACACGGAACGCTCAATAGGCTCTGCTTCCCTCTGACACATGGTAGTTCACATCTTTTGCTCTGGAACTGCGCGCCGGAACACGCTTTGGCGAACGTTCCCTATCAACTCCGAATATTGTACAGCCTTCGCTATCCCTAAGAATGAATTCCTTTGTGTCCCACCCTGTCTATGTTTGGATAACCTGGCAGTATCCCAGCCCTCGTGCTTCCTTCGGGTGGCATGACAGCTAGGCACCGGAAGGGTGATACAGCTGAACGTTCTTTTCTTCTCTTCTCACATCAATCAACCCCACCTTATTCTTGTTATGGAGCCCATTTTGGCTATATGTGTCCTGTGTGAACTTGAGTGCGGCGACCACCAATATGGAGCTGGATGCAAAATATCTATCCGTTGGGGGAAGGGCAATTTTCTTAATTTTGCTCCGCTGTACCCGGCCCCTTCTCGTTAGACGGCCCATGTACATTCTGCTCACTCAATCTATTGATGAATCGGTCCCTACAAGCTCGCCTTTGTCCAACAGATCCATACCGTAAACACTGAAGCTTCGGGTGTTTTATACCTCTGACTCCTTTCCTACTACTACTACTACTACTACTACTACTACTACTACTACTACTAATAATAATAATAATAATAACAATAATAATAATAATCGTTCAGCTGCAACACACTTTCGGTGCCAACCTTCCACACCACCCGAAGAAAACACGGGGGCTGAGATACTACCAAGCTTGGAGGGCAGCAGTGGAGATGCAGAGGTTGGGTTCGAACCACAGACCTTCCGATGAGTAAGTTCGCTCTCTAACTACTGAGCCATCTCCTACTACTCACAAACGATTCAGTTTCTTTGGCAGGATTCGAAAATGTGTAGGCAACGTCACTCTTCACAACGCTGTGCACCCCTGTCAGCACAATTACCGCCAGCGTTTCATCGCCAGTCGATGATGTGTTCCGGAGCACAGTAGTGAGTTGGTAAGTGTTCACAATCACACACCGCATCGCTCTACCACACACCACGCTGATGACACAACCTCGACTGATGATGAAACACTCGCAAAACTCGCCAAACTGAGCAAGCAACTCGACTACAAACTGAACCTTAGCTACATCATGCACTGAACACAAACCTTGTTTGTCAAAAGCAGTTCCAAGTCCCTGCATGAATCCCTTTTCATCTCTGCCTTGGCTCCAGCCAGCCATATTTTATTCCTCCCCTATGAACTTTAACACACATGTCACTTCCCCATATCTTCGATGTCTCGTTGTTGCCTTGTGTGTTCGTTATGGATGTACATGCCCCTCACACTTTCAGGAAGTCTTCGGCTAGAGGCTGTCTCTCCCACTGTAATCCACCGAGAGAGCTATCAGACGTCACGTGCCTGATGATCGGATGGCCGTTGATCTGTCTGTCCGCCAAAATTGACAATTAGCCCGGAAACGTTTAGTCACCAGGCGACGAGAGATCGTTACTTCCCCTCTCTTCTGTTAAGAAACTCTTGCAGTCCTTGAAGACATTTCTCTTTCTTGTTCGAAATTTTTAGTTGGTATGTGGCGTGGGTAGAACCACCAGCAAGACGCGATTTGTTCAGTCAGTTCGCCGAAAGTAATCGAATATGCGGTACAACATCTTTTGGGGTTAGCTTCAACGATATCGAACCCACGTTTCATTTGAACGTGAAATTATGATGGTATCGGCCTTTTCCTGTATGGAGAACATCGGCTGTTTGAGAATCTATCGTCAAAGACAAAATGTGCAACACTGAATCTTTCAGATTAGACAAGTTTATGCAGCAAGAAGGCGAGTTGGCTCAAGTGGTTAGAGCGCGAATTCACTGACCAGAAGGTCTGTGGTTCAAACCTGACCTCTGTTGTCTAAGCTTGGGCAACTTGGCAGTATCCCAGCCCTCGTGCTTCCTTCGGGGAACACCGGGTGTTACAGCTGGACGACTATTACTGACTAGCAAGGGGATAAGCTGTCTCGTGGACGTCATCACTGTGAAACTGCCAACAGCTAACCTACCGCTGTTGGTTAATTACAGGAGCTTGATGTGTGATCGCTTTGGTTCAGATTTAAGTGACCCATGCACAGGCGAACACCCTTCCCATACTACTGGTTTACATACAACTAAATGTGATATTTCAGTAGCTGTAATAAATTCACAGATGTGGACAAACCGCTATGAAACGAGACAGGCGATGAGATACATAGACTGAAATGACAGTTGCAACTACGTCAGACTTCGAGAATTTTTACCCTCGAATAGACTTCAACCGATCACGTGGGGTCAAGATATCCACGTCGTCTCCTTCATGGCGAAGCACTGTGCTGTGAGATGAGCAGTTCGGAATGGTTCCGTGTCACACATGAACACTAAGTACACATCGATAGTTAACTTGTTCATACAATGATAACGGTGTCTTTAGGCGTGAGGGATGTTACCTGAGCAAGTCCCTCTTAGTGTGGGTGTGTAGGTGGGCCGCAGGAGCATTGCACACTTACATAAGGTGACAGGCAGTTGAGCGGTTGTCGAGATTTCGAAACATGTCAGAGCCTGCTGAAGACGAATTTCTCCACGACGAAACCCACTAGCCAACAAGAAGCGCACTGGAAGGGGAGCACTGACATAGTCAAACAGTCAGACAAAGTTCACAAGACAACGTTTCCAATAAAAAAATACCAACACGGGGAATCTAAAGGACGCGTCTGTTAGCAGAAGCACCCTTTCGGTGCCTAACTGCCACGCCACCAGAAGGAGCATGAGAGCTTGGATACTGCCAGGTTGTCCAAACGCAGACAGGGGAAGTCAAGACGCACAGGTCGGGTGGCCCAAGTGGTTAGAGCGCGAATTTACTGACCGGAAGTTTCGTGCTTTAAAAAGTGTTCAGCTGTAGCTCCCTTCCTGTGCCTAGCTGCCATGCCACCCGAAGGAAGCACGAGGGCTGGGATACTGCCAGGTTGCCCAAGCCTAGACAGGGAAGTCGAGTGGCGGAGGTCGGATTCGAACCACGAACCTTCCGGTCAGTAAATTCGCGCTCTAACCACTGAGCCATCTCGTCGAAGGGTTATTTACTGGAAAGTCTCACTGTGCACCGCTTCGGGTATCAGTCAAAGCCGCAAACAGTACTCACCTTACCCATTTGTTCGTCCGTCTTCACCATTTCGGCGAAGTAATCGGCTGGACGTTTGGTTGGGACACCCAACTGATGCAGTTTCGGAATCGCGACCAAAACTGCTGCCTGGCCGAGGCGATAGCTGGGTAACGAGGAAAGATAAGCAGCGGAGAGGAAAAATTAAAAAAAAAATTGAACAAAAACCAAACCAGGGTGAAGATGCACTGGTCCCACGACAGAACTACTCAGCTAAGACCACTTCTCTCCGATCCGGACTGTTCGGTTCGGGATGGATATCTCAAGAAAGATGACTCCATAAGTCTACATAAAGTGTAATCTGATTGGTACCAGGGAGCGAAGTCTCCATTCAAAAAGAACCAGGACAAGAATTACATCCACTCGTATTCCAACAACACGTAGGTAACTGACCGATCGTATCAGAACGGAGTTCTCCGCGTTGGTGGGACCAAAACAGCATACTTTTCAATGGCATGGCACATAACTAGTGTAGCCCCTTATCTATAGAAGGAAACAACGGTTGGTAGCCTCCTATGATGCATCTTCCAACACACACACACACACACACACACAATATATGAGCCACAAGCGACCAGTTTTTGGTTGATCTCAAGGGTGAGAAAACTGTGTTAAGTGTGCCGATGTCTCTTGTCAACAAGTCACTTAACAAATACACATAATTGCTTCGCAGCATTGGCAAGTCAGATGCTGCCGTGAAGTTATCTTGCGATGCAATCGCTGGTGAAAGATCAACCCAAACGAGTGGATATGCAGACACCTTAAACTTAAGTCATACGACCATCCACGGGCTTCAGCTATTCGACTTATCATTCGGCAGGATTTTCCTCCCGACGGACATGCTTCCAGTGCCTGAAGACCAGAACACCGAGCTACTCTAACCTGACCTCGTTAAGGTTGAAGAGATTGTGTTCAGGAAGCTTCAGGAACACTTTTGAAGATATTGGCTTAACTTTGAAGTCACCGTACTACCAGTCACCACAACCGTAAATCTACACCTGTTTTAACAAACGCAGTTATCCTGTGCCCCACCCGGTGAATATACGCTAATAGAGGCAGAGGTCGGTTTCGAACCAAGGAACTTCCGGTCAGTAAATTAGCGCTCTAACCACTTGGGCCATCTCGCCCCCCTTCACGGGCGAGGAAAGTGATGATGATGACTATTGAAGAGGATGAGTGACGGCGACGTGGACTCATCATCAGTATCATCGACAGCATGACATCAGTGTTCAACACCCACACGGTCGGGGGGTGGCTCGAAAAGTTACCCACTGAGGAAGAGCTGTGCGTTCTGAAAAGCACCCGAAAGACCTGGGCATTACTGAAACGGAGGTTCTACTAAACAAAGAAAATGCCTTGAAGGCCTAGATGGTTAGTCGCTGGAAGCTACCACCTTTTTCAAGCTACAGCGCTTACGTCTCCGACTTAAACTGGGATCGAGTGCTGTTCAAAGCCAGACACATTATCGGATGTCAGACTGGCGACACAGTGCTTGACAAAACATGTTTGTCGCAACGATCTGAAGGTAGATTTCGACTTTCACCGAGGCTAACAAGACCGTCAAAGATTTGTTTGGCTTCGATGCAGCACAACTAATTGGCATGGACGTGCTGTTGGGCAAACATGTGGACGCACAACAGTCAGGATAACAAGAAAAAATTGGAACAGAGTAGGTCAGCTCACAAATAGTTCTCCCGTTTGAAGTCATCATCGGGGTCAATTTGATCGGCCGTATCGGGGACATCCAATTCTTTCGCAGCTGGTGCTGGCTTTGTGACCACATCCAGTCTCTCTATCCACGGAAGTTTGTTACACAGATGCTCCAATGTGTTGGTCAAAGCAGCCTGGAGAAAATGAAGGTGATAAAACAGAGATCAGCCGTATGAAGTAACAATTGATAATCCAGTTGAAATCCATAATTAAAGATTGTAGTTTTATCAAATAGACTATAAGGCCAGAATTGCCCGGTGTCAAGAGCCTAGCAGAGATGACATCATCATCATTGAAAGCAACACCAAAGGAGAATACTAGTGCTTCAGTGCCGTTAGCTATGTCGATTTAATTGACCTAAGATTTACAGTGGAAGCGCTAAATAGGGAGAAGGGATGACTAAGGTTGGCCTATCTCAAACGACCGACGTGCTTACATCCCGAGCACTAAATCGGACAACCTGGGTAGAAATTGACAGCATACAGGACGTTGGCATCGGCTAGCCATTATATCGTCCAGTGTCTACAGCCAAGAACGAGCATAATTATGTGTAACCCATCCTGGAAGGTGAACAGTACTCACACGCTTCTTGACAGCCTTCAGTCCCCTCTACCACGTCAAGACCGATCCACCTCCATATTAGGCGTGGAAAACAAAGCTCTTCTCATAGAACGGTGAATCTGTATGCGTAATACATGGCACAGCCACCTTCACTTGCAGTGTTGGATGAATTCTCCTAGTGAAATACCCATTGCTACACAACAAAAAACCGTCTCCTGACAACCTCTTTCTGAATTAGTTGGTTTAAACCGAGTCTAAACAATTCTAGCTATAGTTCTGAGGCATCGGTGGTGAAAGACCCGAGACTTTTCTCGGATCCCTCAGCAGGATTGGCAGAACCCAGTAGCCGTCTAATATACGCGCTCCTTGAGACGAAGTGATGTGACGCGTTTTGTATATTGGAAAGTCATTATGGCCGTCGATATTCGCGCTTGGTTTCGTCTGTCACTATTAGTGCACAGATGCTGATAGCCATAATACAGATCAGAAGGTGAATGTGCACTAATAAAAGCTTTTAGTATTTCTGCGACACGTATAAAAATAAATACAGTGCGAAAATGGGAGCAAGTCAAAAAGGGAACTTATCGGATGCGAGAGTCCCTTGGTGGAAGTCCGGACGGCAGAAACGTGTTTTTCTCCGCAGTTCGACTGCTACACGTACTCCATGGTTGTCCGTGGACTTGTGGAGA